CTGGAAGTTTTGTTTCCTGAAAACTTCCAGAACACGGCCACGCAGCCCGGAAGACCCACACCAGCCAATCTTGGTAATCTTTGAGAGCTCCCGGTGAACTGGTCATGGCCCAGAAGGCTGGAGGACAGGGGAATCGACCCTATGAGAAATGGTTAAAGGATCTCGGCAGGTTTAGTCTGCAGAAAGGAGTGAGGGGAGGGGCTATCACACAGAACAGGGAGAGGACGTATTCCCTACTGCCCCACAGGGCAGAACCAGAATCAACAGGCTAAAGCGGCAAGAGGCTCAGGCTAGAAAACAAGAAAAACCTCCCAAGGATGTAAGTCATCAGATGCCAGCTGAAAAGTTACTCATCATGGATGATGTTACTTTTCCTGCATGCTGCAGGTTAGATTAGATTATCCCTGTGGCCCCTTCCAAGTCTAGAATTCCATAATTCTGTGAACAGACTGGCATGTGACGTTGTGAGTTCTCTTTTATTAGAGATCTTCCAACAAAGGCTGGTCACCTGTCAGAGACATTCTAGTAGACCCTACATCAAGCAGGAGGGAGCGCCGCAGACAGGACAACCAGCCTGTAAAAGGCCCACAGAAGGGGGGAGGGCGTGGGAAACATCTCAGAAGGGACCCTCCCTAGTTTTCCAGAGAGTAAAAGGAGAGGAGGGGAGTAATACTTTCCGTCTTGCGAGGTTCTGTTAACATCACCTTACAATAAAGATGGAGCTACTCTAGACTACCTTGCTGTGATGGAATGGTTTGGCAAAGGCCGCGCTCAGGGAGGTAAGCATTTCCTTAGCCCCCAGAAAGAGTGTGGGACGGTGAAGAGGATGAGGCTGGCACCTCCCTAAGGAATTCGCAGTGTTTGCTTGCTGGCTTGGGGAGTTTAGATTCAGTCTGGTGGGATTTCTGTCTTGTAGGTGAACGCTAATAAATGCTATCGAACTAGACCTGTACTGTCTCGTGTTCTTTGGGCTGAACCTGACACTTGCAGGGCTAAGAGTTTCTTCCAACTCTAGGATTCCGAGCCCCAGAAATCAAAAATGTCTCCCACTCACACAACCAGCAGAGCCACTTTTTCACTTTCTTGCCTTTCTAGTCTATTCCCCTGGGCTGCAAGAATGGATGAGTAGGGCCTGAGCCCAATCTGTAGGTCTTCAGAATCCACAAAAATAGAATCATAGATGTTCTCTACAACATCATTCATCCCCACGCAGGTTAATGTGTCAGTATCCCTGATACGTCTTGGAAGTGCGTTTTTGGCAGCCAGTTCTCTTCGCAAGCCAATGGACTGGATTCTGATTCCTCATAGCAGTGAGTCGCTGATTATCGGGAATCTTCTCTTCATTTTCTTTGGGACAGAGTTGCTTCTCTTCTGCCTTCAGGATCTACCACCCTGCCTGGGTTCCATTCTTTCACTTTTATTTCTCCTGCAGGCTCAGAGCCTTTCTTTGAGGACCAAATTCAGCTGTTTCTGAATTCCAGTGGTGCAGCGTATCTTCTGCAGCTCTCACTTCTGGTCCTGAGTCTAATCTAATGGGCTTGTTCCTTCCACTAACCTTTCTTTACAGAGAGTTGCTTTTAGGTTGTCCTTCCTGTCTGAAGTGGCTGGGACATGGAACCTGAGAGTCCTATCCCTTCAACTTGTCAAGCTCCCAAATTTCTCAAACCACCGAAGGAAAATATTGCCGAATTCGGTGAAGAGACAAGCTTGAACACCAATGAACGGACGAGGTGCCCTCAGATTACACTCACCGTGAAGAGTTCGCGCTGTTTGGCCATAGCCTGTTGGATGATGCTGTCTGATTGCAGGTCCTTCTCCAGCTGCTCGCGAGACAGCAAGGGGTACTCGCCCCGCAGCCGGTGACCCACCACCCGCAGTCCACTAAATGCCTTCAGGTCCAACTGATGCACCAGCTGAGCTTTGTCACCACACAGCACCATCACGGACAACTGGTGGAGCTGCTCATGCAACTTGGAGATCTGATCGCCGGCATCAGCTGTGCCGGCCACGTTGGCGGCTTTAAGGAGAAAAAGGAAGGAACAAGTTACTAATTTATTTATTAAAAACGCACATGTTGTACGAGGCAGCTAAAAAAAAATGCTTACAAACATGGAATGCAAAGGATTGAAAAGGATAGCAGAATCTAGCCAACCCAGTGCAGGCACCAGCGCTGTGGGGCAACCGGAGAAGCCAGCATGCCTGGTCCCTGCAGAGCCGAACAGGACGTCACAATGCTGGTGAAGGCCTGTATCCCAGGTATCTCTACTCCCACCCCTGGCCAGAGCCCCACTGATCCAGACAGTGCTGCCTGCCAGGTCAGCTTCCACAGGCTTTTTGGCTCACCGCCTGGTTGGGACGGAGGTTGCTCTACTTCCCACGTCCGGGTTCTGGGGCACGCTTGAGCTTCCGCCTTCTCACTTTTAACCCGCGTCGTCTGCAGGAAACAGAAAGCCAGGAAAGTTGTGGACTGCGGCCAATTCATGTCAGGACCCACAGCCTCATCCCAGACCCGCCCCCCGGCAGTCCTGCTTGGCAACTGGGGACATGCAGGACATGCTGAACCAGAAAGGAGGGAGAGCTCCAGCCCACCTCCAGGACTGACTCCACCACGGTACGCAAAGCTCCCAGGAGGCAGTCTTCTAGCTCCCCACTGGATGGAAACAGCACAAGCGCATTGTCCACACTGAACACCAGCTGCACCCGAAGGACCGCTTTCCGAACAGAGCCATCAGCCTGCACGGGAAGAGGCCAAGAGACAGATGAAAATGTAGACATCCTTCGGTTCTGGAAGCCAAAGACTGAGACTGATTCCTGCAACAGGAAGCTTAATTCCATCTCTTTCTCCCCACAAACTGTGGCCTGACCACCAATTCCCCCTCCCCTCCACGCAGCGTCTCCTTTCTTGAGGCCGAACCTGCATGGTGTGATTGACGAAGTTGGTGACTTCTTCATGCATCACAGAGACAAGGGCCTGGCAAATGAGGAAGTTCACCAGCAGGGCCAGGGCCCCCAGTCTCTGCAGCCAGGATTCAGCCACTCGCAAGCGGTGCCGCAGCCTCTCATACTGCATCCGCTGCTGGTACAGAGACTCTTTTGCGATGCACAACCTGCAGCCTTGCACCTCTGCTTGCAGCCTCTGGACCATCTTGTAGGTGTCATCCCGCACCTGCGAGCGTAAGTAAAACTATTATAAGCTGGATCCCTTTACTATTCCAGGGACTGTTCACCTCAGCAGACTTAGCCTGGAATACCTGCAACAGTTAAGCACAGGGGCCTGCCTGTATAATTAACCAGCCATTGAGCGACCACTTTCTTCCTAGATTTCTCTCAAGTTCAGAAAACCCAACGTGCGGAAGACTGGACAGAACAGAACGTTCCCCGCTGCGCAGTGAACCTCCACAAAAGCAAATTCACCAAGCACAGACTGCCTGAGCGCTATTATTTAAGATGGAAGCTTTCAAACGTGCCACGACACATCAACACATCGAGTAAAACCTCTCTCTTTTGGAACCTGTCGGTTGTGCTTTAACCCTCAATCGGTTGCTCAGTGAGGGTTCAGTGATTACGTGAGAGTGAAAGCGGTGCGCGTGAAAGAGCTTAAGCACAACTTGACCATATTACTCTCAGTAAATCTAGGGAGCCACCTAAGGGCTTTTCGTGTGCCATCTTGTCATTTGGCACGGAGTACTTTCTCATTCTCAATCCCTTGCAGTCTTCTGGAGTGGGTAGTCATTACAAACCTAATAAAGTTAAGTAAATTAAACTAAACTGCCTCACTGGAAGGCATGCAGGTATGTTCCCCGCATCAATTCACAACCATTGACCAGGCTGCATCTCCAACAACGTGAACTGTAGCAAGAGTCAAAATGAGACTTATTTTCTCGGTTCTTGTCATTTAATCCAACCTCCTCTTGAGAACGGCTCCGACAGAAGGGGGCCTTTCCCATGCAGAGCCTCAGCCGCTTGGGCCTTTCTCTCTCCCCAGTCCTGCTGGAGCACACCTCCCCTTGCACAAACGCCAGCCACGCTCCTGCCAAGGCTCACCAGCTCCAGGATGGAGCAGCAGAGGGACAGGAACCTGCGCAGGAGCCCTTCTGCATTGCTGTTCTCTTGGGCCAGGACCCGTCGTAGTTCAAGGAAGTTGTAACATTTGCAGCTGTCTATCGGCAGCCAGTGAACGGCTTCCAGCTCCTGTAAGAGTCTACAAAGGAGAGATGGGAAGCATCTGTGAGGCCGAGAAAGAGCAGAGGAAGAAGTGCACTGGACCGTCTCACAGCCCTTTCGGCGTTCGAACCTGAATATGTGAAGAAGAGCTGCTCCAAAATGAGGCACCGCTTGAAGCAACTGCACGCTCAGCTTCTCTCGGCGCTTCAAATATTGCAAATGCTTGACGTTAAAGCACCACCTCAGAAGAGAAATACAAAGCGTAGGCTGAGCCACCTTCCTCTGGGCTCTTCTGTTTTTCCACAGCAACCTTCAACGTGCCCCCCAAGGCAGTAGAAGGGGCGCTTCCTAATCCCTCCCCAGTAACCACCACGCTTACCGAGTGAAGGCTTTGTGGACCAAGAAAAGTCGGAAGAAGGGAATGCACTGCATCAGCTGCCACAGCATGGCCTCCCGATGCCAGTCGCCCAGGGAAAGAGCCTCGGAGCCCTCCTCAGGATGCACACAGAGCACCCCAAAGGGCGAGAAGACGTAGTGCTGGGGGTTGACCAGATGCTTGGGGACGGCCACTAGGTCGTAAGGCCTGCAGCCCGGGTTGGAGAAAGCACCGAGTCAGGCCAGAAAAGCAGCTTTCTCATCGCCTTCCCTTTTCCTCTCTTCGCAGGCAGGGCTGCCCCCTCGCCCCGGCCTTTCCAGCCCTCTCTGAGAAGCCTGTCGGGTTCTGCGTATGGTGCCAAGCTCGCTCAAAAGATTAAGGTGCTGCCCGCCCCGATGGCACAGTAGGTTACGAGAAAGGAGGCTTTCCAAAGGAAGACGCAAGCCGGGTTCCTTCGCCACAGAGTCCCCACCGGGACAGAACTCCGAACTGGAAGAGGCCCCCGGGCAGGGCAGGGCAGGGCAACGGTGGCCAGCTGCCCCGGGCTGGAGAGACTGGGCGGCCCACCAGCCCGCCCTAGAGGAACCGCCCGCCGGGCAGGCGCTGACCCACCCGAAAGCTCCCCCCGCAGC